AAGGTCCTTGTAAGCATAGTAGTATAGCCAGTCATGGACCACCACATTCCAGGTTCTATAATAGTTAGAGTATGATGTAGAATTCCACCAATCCTGAGGAGAAAAAGTAAAGATATGAAAGTACACACACTCTCAAAGCAAAACCTCTGAATATTCCCAGGAAACATACATAGATGATATAGAACCCAGAGTATTTTGTTATAAATTATTTGTCCACACACTAATGTCAGGAAAATATTTAACCCACTCCTGCTGGCTTGAACCACTGGTGGTACATGCATGACTGTCCCATCAGATGACTTGAACTAACTCATGGTAGATGTGACCAATAAAAGTGACTAGATCTGTCTGAACCATCAGAGTACAAGCCACCATATGGGACAGTCAGGCATGTACCACCGGTGGTTCAAGCAAGCAGGAACATATACAAGTCAGAGCCACCCAGCAGCAAAACATGAATTATGGCCCCATCATGAACAAGTTAAGGCATTCTTGCTATGAGTATGCAATACATTATTTTAGTGTTACACATGATTAAGTTCCTGGACTATTTTGTCTCATTATGAAATTACAATGAAAGATACAGAACATAGAGAAGCAGTTAAATCTAATATTCACCTAAACAACTATCAGTAAACCTCTTCCCAGTCCTGCTAGAACGTAATGAATGACTCATAAAGTCATGATGACTAGATCAAGTGCTGCCACTAAAGAGCTGTTGGGTATCATAAATAGCAAGATTCAACTATATAGCAGTAAGGTGGCAGCCATCTCCAAGTCCTAGTGTCACTGTTTATAGGTCTTGTTCCAAATCTAAAATCAGACTAACAGAATTAGACATGAATTTGCAACTCACACTCTTTGAGAAAAAAACTCACGCTTCTTTGAGAAAAAAGTGGCAGACTTGGAAAGTCGCCCCAGTAATAAAACTTGAGGGCTCTAGGTAGTGCTGTAGAACACTTGAGGGCCACACTCTGGCTCTATTCTAATTCTGATTTCTTTTCTTTGGTACCAGGAATCGAACCCAGGACCTTGCACTTGCCAGGCAGGCTCTTGTACTGCTGAACTATATCCCTGGCCCTTAATTCTGATTTCAAACATGTAAGAACACTATTATGCCGGGTGAGGTAGCACACACCTATAATCCCAGCACTCAGGAGGCTGAGGCAAGAGGATAACTGTGAGTTCAAGGTCAGCCTGCGCTACACATGAGACCCTGTTTAAAAACAACCAACCAAACAAAAAATACAATTTTGACCAGAACTAATACCTCTCAAAAGAAAGGAGGGAGAAAGTATTTAAGACTGCTCAACAGTCTTAAACGGATTAATTTGCTGAGGTCATCTTACACACTAGCCAGCCAATTCCAAATGAATGAGCAATCAGAGAAGTCTCAAGGTGCCTGCTGGACAAATATTGTCCTACCATAGTGACCAATATATCCTCACAGGACCCAGCAGAAACCACATACTTTACTATGGAGGAGATCTTAGAGGCAGAAGAAAAGATGAAGCTAAATATATCTGTATCAGAATTTCAGCCTTGGTATCAGCATATTCTTGGAAAAGAAAATTATTTCACAATGTTTGTATCAAAATGTTGGTAATAAAAAAAAAATGTTGGTAGTGCTCAAACATTTAACAATGAAGAAATAAAATCTAGAAAGAAAGGTGAGCCCAAAGATATATATTACCTTATAAAACATCCTGTCACCAAATCGTAACATCTCAGCAAAGGCATTGAGCCAGCAGTGCAAAAAGGCAAAAAAAGAAAGGAACATCATCAGCACACCTAAAAATAAGATTAACAATATGAAGAATCTTTTCAAATAGCTTACATACTAAGCCATTAGTTACACGTCATCATTTGCTTAGCTGGGATTATTTTATAAAATATGCAGTTATTCTAGTTTATCCACTCCAGAGATGATATAGTACATTTTCGGAAGTTAATTAAAAAAAGAAAATCAGTAACAGACAACCGACAACCCAGCAGATTTAACAGACAACCGAGAATGTTTTAAAGAAAGGCCTTGATATATGGCTTAAGCTGGTATCCAAGCCTCTTAAAACTCAGACTCCATAACACCTTTCTAAACCCAATATTTAAAACAGGAAGATTTTGCTCCCACTCTTTTTATGGAGCTTCTGGCAACTCTGGAGTCATTTTTTGTGGTCACACACTGGAGGGGTAAATGTTGTGCCACTGGTATATAGTTGCTAGAAGCCAAGAGGCTGCTAAACAACAACATGTAAGAGCCACCCCAAAGAGGGGCTGGGGATTTAGCTCAGCGGCAAAGCGCCTGCCTGGCAAGCGCAAGGTCGTGAGTTCGGTTCCCAGTGCCAGAGAAAAACCAAAAGAAAAAGCGAAAAACCACAAAAAAAAAAAAAAAAAAAAAAAAAAAAAAAAAAAAAAAAAGAGCCACCCCAAAGAATCATCCAGCCCACAACATGAATACTCACAGATTAACATAAGCTGGTCTAACTTATTTCCAATAACTCTGCCCTCAGTGTTGTAAATATCACTGGCTGGACTTCTCTCATCCCAAATACTCCACACTTTTATATCATCCCCTATCTAAAAGTCCTTGCTACCACTTATATGCCAGGCAAATACCTATTTTTTAATACCCGGTGTTAAATGTCATCTCTATAAAATGAAGTCCATAAGCACTTTGATTATCATACACTGCAATATATTATGAAATATACATTTACATATCAGCCTTTTTCATTCACTTATTCAAAAAATATTTATGGAGCTTCTACTATGTGCCAGAGAATTGGAGAACACAGGATAGATTATAACCTTTAAAACACAATCTTTGGCTGGGCGTGGTGGCGCATGCCTGTAATCCCAGCACTCAGGAGGCTGAGGCAGGAGGATCCTTGAAGTTGAGACCAGCCTGGGCTACAAAGTGAGCTCAAGGTCAGCCTGAACTACATAATGAGACCCTGTCTCAAAAAGACCAAAAAAAAAAAAAAAAAGACAATCGTTTTTTTTGGTACTGGGAATTGAATTCACGACCTTGTGCTTGCCAGGCAGGCGCTGTGCCGTTGAGCTGTATGCCAGCCCAATCCTTTCTTTTTTAAAAGACACAATCCTTGATCTCAAGGCAAGAGAAAGACATCCAAGTATGTAATACATATCTTTCTGTAAGGACAGACAGTTTATTATGGGAGGGAGTCCTAAAGATTACTGGAAGAAGTCATAAGAGTAAAGAAGAGTGACTCTTTACTCTGTAATTAGTAAAGAGAAAGAGCTAAATCAAAGAAATTATACAATGCAAGCTCCTAATGTCGCGTATGCCACTGAGTCTTCAGCATCCAGCAGTCAAGGGTGGTAAGAAAGGAGGTATGGCTGGAAGACAGGGGAAGACAAACAGTGGCAAGTGAAATTCCAAAATGTGATCAGAGCACCCAAGGCTCCATGGAGGTCAAACTGGATATGGGCTAAATGATCTACTTGGTTTAGAACAGGTTATTAGTGATTTTAGCAGGGTATTTCAGTGGCCTGGTAATAGCAAGAACAAGATTATAGGGAACTGAACAGTGAAAAGATAAAGGGGCCAGTGGAAATGGCAGAGTGGTAAGCAACAGCTCAGCCTCTCTAAGATTTGGAATTCAGACACTGGTAAATAAGGCTGAGGCAAGAAGATTGCAGTGAGTTCGAGGCCAGCCTGGGCTACACGGTGAGTTCAAGGACAGCCTGCACGGCAAGACCCTGTCTCAAAAACAAACAAAAACCCCAGACACTGGAAAATAACAACTTGAAGAAGAAAAAAAGGAGAGAGAAGTAGATCCCTTAGAACCAAAAAAGACCTGACAGGAAAATTAAAGCCTACAGAGAAACTAAAGAGAAAGAACACAATGTGGAGAGTGGAAGGGGCAGTGTGCACTTCTCCCTGGCTCCCTTTGCTACAGCTCACGGCTTGTGGGAAAGGGAGACCGAGACCAGAGACAAAGTGAAAGCTGGGGACTTCACAAGACTTCAGAGACAAACTCAGGGTGGAATGGACTGGCGGGTGCAGTGAGCTGCCGGAAGAATGCAGGATTCTGCACCCACAAGTCCTTTGTCAGGCAGCAGCTGGAAAATTTCTCTCATCCAAGCACCCACCATATCCCTGGAGACAGCGCTTGGTTGGAGGTCACTTTGGGGAAGGGTTTACTGGGTAAAAGCTGCAGTCAGGCTGGAAAGAGATTCCCTGCGGGGTTTGAGCCAAAGGACACAGGCCTCACCCCACAGCGAGAGGCCATGGTCAGCCTGAGCTGCTCTGGATTTGAAAGTCGTGCTACCTGCACCTTCACCCTAATGCTAATGCCTAACATTACTGCCAGCATCCAAGACAGATCTGGGGTCTGACTGCCTTCTTTACCAACGTGAGCAGGGACATATCTCAACTTGGACACCGCCCCAAAATTGTAGATCCCAGAAGAAAATCACACATTCAAAATCACAGAAATTTTTTTTTTTCTTTCTTTTTGTGTAAGTGTACAATTTTTTTTCTTTTTCTCTTCTTTCCTTTCCACCTTTCTTCTTCACCAGTGTATTGGGATTTGGGGGATTCTCTTTTGTCCTTCTTTTCTTGCTTCTTATCTGTCTTACATTTTAAAATTTTATCCTCTTTTAATTTTTCTCCCTTTAACATCCCTCCCCCCTCTCTCTCCCCCTGTCTTTTTGAGACAGGGTCTCACTACACAGTTCAGGCTGGCCTTGAGCTCACTTTGTAGCCCAGACTCGTCTCGAACTTGCAACGATCCTCCTGCCTCAGCCTCCCAAGTGCTGGGATTACAGGTGTATACCACCACACCAAGCTTTTCTCTCATTTTTAACCTCGGTATAATTTCTTATTTTTCCTCTTTTTACCTTCTATTTCTCACCAGTTTTTTCTCTTACCTTTACCTAATTCTATAAACATCCTTCAACACCCCAGTAAGAATCCTTTGTACCACTTCGCTCCTTGTTCTCATATCAAACAGTTTAAGGTTTGAAATTTTTCTTCTTGCATTACCCTATTCCCAAATAAATCCTATATCTTTAACAGTATAACAAAGCTTACTAACTTCTAGACAGTTAACTTCACAAAATTACTGAATTCTTCTCTACCATTAGCAGAGATATAGCAGTCACATGTGATACATACTAGCTATAAATTAATACCTGGATTTTAAATGTTTACACCATATTAGTAGCTTTCTTCTTCTACAGTTAAGGGTAGTATATAACTGGTTCTTAAAGTATGTGAATATCTAATTTGCCCTAGACAATACTGCTGTAGCTGATTTGCTTGATATTACAAGGGTCACATTATTGTTGCTATTTCTCTGTAAACCAACACTCAGATAACCTTTGTGACATTAACAATCCTAAAGTATATTCCCAGAGAATTCTATGCCAGGTAATTACACTGTGTCCTCCCCTTCCAAATTAACCAAGTGATGAGATCATGAGGCTGAGGCCAAGGACAACAGTTAGCCACAACAAAAGTCCATCAATGAAAAGTGTATAACTAAAGAGCTTGCTATACTAGCAACAAAAGTTTTCACGCTGTAAGCATCACAAAACCTCAGCATAAAACAAACAGAAGACTAATAAAATTAGACCCTCCTCATATTTAAACACCCAATCAAAAATGGGAATCTGAGCTGGGCCTGGTGGTGCACGCCTGTAACCCCAGCACTTGGGAGGCTGAGGCAGGAGGATCATTGCAAGTTTGAGACCAGCCAAGGCTACCAAGTGAGCTCAAGGCCAGCCTGAACTGTATAGTGAGACCCTGTCTCAAAAAGACCAAAGAAAGAAAGGGAGGGGATCTGTAATGAATAGACACTTCTCAGTTGAAGAAATACAAATGGCCAATAAATACAGGAAAAAATGTTCAACATCACTAGCCATTCCAGAAATGCAAATTAAAACAATGTTAAGATTCCATCTCACTCCTGGAAGAATGACTATCAAGAAATCAAACAATAACAAATGCTGGAGAGGCTGTGGGGAAGAAAAGAACCCTTTTCCACTGTTGGTGGGAGTACAAAATGGTAAAACCAGTATATAAACCAGGGTGGAGCTTCCTCAAAAACCTAAAACTAGAAGTTCCATTTGACCCAGCTATTCCCGTTCTAGGTTAAAACATCATATTACAGTGATCCCTATGTTCATAGCAGCACAATTCACAACAGCTAAATCTTGGAAGCAGCATATTATGTCCAGCAACAGACAAATGGGTAAAGAAAATATTGTATGTATACAAAAAGAGTATTACTTTGACATAAAGGATAAACTTGAGTCATTTATAGGAAAATCAATACACCTCCAAACCATATGTTAAGTGAAGTAAATCAGACTTACAAGATAAAACATCGAATGTTTCCTCTCATTTGAGAAACCCAATATATAAAGTAGAAAATAAAAAAACAAGACAGTAGGAAAAAAGAGAAAAAAATCTTACTGTAATCCAGCATGGCCAATGTATCTGAAAGTGCACCTTGATTTAGTATAATGGTCTTATTTGTTTTATATGGGTTTTTTGCCTGTTAGTCTGGCTGTTAATCTGTGTTTACAGTATTTTAAAGGCTTACTGTAAGATAAAGCCTTATAAAATAAATCTGATGCTGGCAAAAAAAACATTTTAAAAAGCAGTCTAAAAAGGAAGGGGAGAAAAAAAAGGGAATGAGATACATTATGTACATGTACTAACTCCCCACAATGAATGTAATCATTATGTACTGCAAACATGTACTAAAAAAAAAAATGTTTTAAAAGATAAAGCATAAAGACAGACCATCCACAGGAGAGCAAATTTTAAGTGAAAGCCAGAAGGTAAGTGGAGTGATTGGCCTAAAACTAGAAGATCCTCCTCTAAGACAGTTGGAAAAAAAGTAAAGATGCATTTAGATCGGCATATAGATATACAGAAAAAAGTCAAGAAAACCAATAATGGCCACAGGCAATAGCTTTCTATTTTTCTTCTGCATATATAATGACCAAATTAACAAGTCCTCATGTTACCTGGCAAGATGGAGTTAAACACACACAGGACCAGAACACGAGCGCTGAAGGGCTCCTGTTTGATAGTCCCAAACAGTGGTACACAAAGCCTTTCAAAGATGTAGTACAGGTAAAAAATGCAACCGAAAACCTGAAACATAACAAATAAAGAAAATCTGGTAAGTAAAGATGGCCGGTGATATTTTTCCTCTCAAGAATGTATGTATGTGACCCTAAAACTAATGTTTACACATATCCGATTTTACCCTAGTATATAACATTGCAAATAAGCTGGCCTTGCACTCATTTATTTATATAGCCCAGACTGGCCTTGAACTCACGACAAAACCCCTGCCTCAGCCTTCAGAGTGCTGGGAGTACAGGTGTGCGCCACTACACCCAGCTATTAAATTGCATTTTAAAAGATTATCTAAGAAACTCTTTTTCTTGCTACATAAGACCTATAAAAGAGCTTATGTTACAGATGGATGTGGTAGCAAACGCCTGTAATACCAGCACTTGGGAGGCTGAGGCAGGAGGATCCTTATGAGTTTGAGGTCGGCCTGGGCAACAAAGTGAGCTCAAGGCCAGCCTGAATTGCACAGCGAGACCCTGTCTCAAAAAGAAAAAAAAAAAAAAACTTATGTTACAAATGGATATTCTAAATAAAACTTAAATAGGGATTTATGATTCTGATAATGGAGTGGGGGAGAAATGGAGGATTTTCAGTTACTGAACCAAATAAAATACAATTACATTAATACTTTCTTTTATTAAAGAAAATTATTTTTGATGTTGGCAAAATAAACAATATACATATACTGTTAAAGGATCACATAGTCTCAGAACACAGTATATCTGAGATCCCTGACATAAATTTTATCAACATTTAAAACAGATTAAATTATAATGAGTCCCCCATTTCCCACCAATCAATATATCTTAGGCAGTTAAAAAATAAATTTTAAAAAGTACCTGTGCAAACTGCAAAACAACATAACTCCATCTTATAGTGGGAGTTCTAAAAAAAGAGAAAAGTTTTTAAAAGTAAATAATAAACCTTAAGTAAAGCCTCCCACAATAAATATTTTTCCACACAGAGTATCACTTATGGGCAGGGATATGGCCCAATGACTCTGGGCTCAATCCAAAATAATTCAATTATTTAATTATGTTCAAAATTGCTTTTTATCAGACTGCTAGACTTTATGAAGCTTCTTATGGCAGAGAAAATGAAGACACATGGTATTTTCTCAACAGCCCTCCATGAAGCGGCTCCTGCCACCTTTTCTCCCCTCACTCATGTGACGGCTGTTTTACCCGCCAGCTGCACCTCATGTGCCATTACCTGGGGTAGCTGTCACGGTAGATAAGCGTAGGAGCAAATAAGAAGTATAAGTACTGGTTGACTGTGGGTACTGGAACTGTACCTAGAAAAGGAAAACCAGATCAAAGGCTTTTGCTTTCTCCCAACAAAGCTAAAAGGGGAAAAACAAGGAAGCACAGAGAGGAAAGAACAACATAACCTCTTAGTTCATGCTGTTTACTTTTTTACATTTGCAGAGTATTATCAATTCTCTTAAGAGTATTATCAATTTCTCTTAAGTTATTCTTGTCACTGATGTAACTGCTAATGTGTGAAGCAACTGTTTGCAAAGAATAAAAACAAACACAGGTGTAATAAAGTTCACAATAGTCAGTGGATGTGAGGTTATGGAAGAGGCTAATGAGCTGTTTCTTTATAGGTACAAGGACAAAACAAGAATAGTCAGTTCTAGGTGCAGAAGCACACACCTACAATCTTAGCTACTCAAAAGGCTGAGACAGGAGAACTGCAAGTTGAGGCCAATACAGTGACAGCAATACAGTGAGGCCCAATCACAAAAATAAACATTAAAAAAACTGTTAATTTTTAAAAGGCAAGAATACTAGAATAACCAAGATGGAGCCCACAGGTGAAATACCCTGTCAATAATTCTTTAAAAAAATTACATACTTGACTTCTCCTTAGCTGCATTTAGTACTCTTGGCACATTCTCTCTGACAAATGAATGGGCCTTCATTATCATACGAATCTACAAAAGGAAAAGATAAACTTTCTATCATTGACTTGTCTCTTATAAGCAACCTCCAAATAGTACAAGATTGTATTTGCACAAAAAAAGTCTCCTCGATTTTGCATACAGTACCACCCCAAGTTCACTTTCATAAAGTAATGAATTTTTTTTCTTAAATCTCCAAAGCAGGACATGTGACTACTCAAATTATTTTGCACCTACTTAACACTGTTACAGAAATATTGTAGATTAGAAAATTAAAAGTTCATTGGAGATGAGGACCTGAGGCAGGAGGATTGCTGTAACACTGTGAGCCCCCCAAAGAAAGTTTCCTGAAATGGTCCTTTCCATTAGTCAAACAGAATGTTATATACAAACAATATAAATTAGAAAATTCTGAAGGATATATAAACAAAATAAATCTCTTATTTAGTTGATAATAGTTCTATGGCAATACAGGAAGTTTAACACTTCAAAAGTGGAGTTTTTAATGACGCAAGTGCTTTATAATCTAGATGACTTTTACAAAAAGTATTAGAAATATTTTTAATTCATCCAGGCCAGGTGTGGTGGTGCACGCCTATAATCCCAGCACTCAGGAGGCTGAGGCAGGAGGAGGATTGCCATGAGTTTGAGGACAGCCTGGGCTACATAATGATTTCAAGGCCAGCCTGAACTACACAGCAAAACCTTGCCTCAGAAAAAAAAAAAAAAAATCATCTAGAATAGTTCAATATAATTTACTTCATTTAGAAGACCTAGAGAACACTAAAGCAAGAATGAATTTTTAAAGGATGAGATGATCTAATTTAATATTTTAATTTTACAAGTAAGGGCACAAAGAGTCATATATGAAAATTTATCCAAGTTAATTTAGCTAAAAATAACAGTTGACTTTCCTTATCATTATTATTTTAACTAGAGCAAAACTGTGTTAGGTAACACTCAAAACCATACCTGTTCAAGTATAATAATTAACCGGGAAGCTGGTGGCAGTGCATATGCTAATACAACGTATGTTGGTCCCACACCTAGAATTCCAAGCTGGAAGA